TGCCATCTCTGTTGAAGCAACTTCAAACTGAAAAGAATATGAAAGTCAGGACAATCAGATCTGACAGAGGAACTGAATTTGTGAACCAAGTCATAAAGGACTTCTGTGATCAAAATGAAACTTTTCATCAACTATCTGCCGCCAGAACACTTCAACAGAATGGCGTGGCAGAAAGGAGGAACAGAACCTTGAAAGAAGCAGCAAGAACTATGATGGCTGAATCAGGACTACCAATGAGGTATTGGGCTTAAGCAATCAACACTGCATGCTACACCCAGAACAGAAGCATGATTAACAAGAATCACCAGAAGACCTAACATCGGCTACTTTCTCATATTTGGATGCAAATGCTACATTCTCAACAATGGAAAAGAACATCTGAAGGTATTTCAAGAGAAAGCTGATGAAGGAGTATTCATAGGCTACTCTAGCACAAGCAAGGCCTATAGAGTACTCAACAGAAGGACTCTACATGTTAAAGAATCAATACATGTGAAGTTTGATGATAGCACCTCGGTTGAAGAATTAACAGAAACCCTGAAGGAAGTCGACTTAGAAGACAAGGTTTCTGAACCAACAGAAGGAGTAACAGTTAATCATGTGTTCCCAACGCCTGCACCAAACCCCCTTCTGTTGAATGAAGATGAAGATTCAGAAGATGAGGAATCAGAGAAACCTAGACAACAGCTGACAGAACCTGATCTAACTTGGTTTAGAGATCATCCCCCAAACCAAGTGATCGGGCATATCAGAAATTGTGTACAGACTAGATCTGCCACAACAAGAAGGGAAGCAATGTTTGCCTGCTATATCTCTCAGATGGAACCTATGACTGTAGAAGAAGCCCTTGCAAACTCAGACTGGAACAATGCAATGCAAGAAGAGCTTACTCAATTTGAAAGGAACAAAGTGTGGGAACTTGTTCCTAGACCAAAGCACCAGAATGTCATTGGAACCAAATGGGTTTTCAAGAACAAAGCAAATGAAGATGGCAACATTGTAAGGAATAAAGCAAGGCTGGTAGCTAAGGGATACTGCCAAGAAAAAGGGATTGATTTTGATGAAACCTTTGCACCAATTGCCAGACTAGAAGCCATCAGAATCTTCCTAGCCTATGCAGCCTACAACAACATCAAGGTCTACCAGATGGATGTCAAGAGTGCATTTCTGAATGGAGATCTTGAAGAAGAAGTTTATGTGGAACAACCACCAGGTTTTATCATTCTTACTCAATCTTCTTGTGTCTACAATCTTAGAAAGGCCCTTTATGGTCTTAAGCAAGCTCCCAGAGCGTGGTATGACACATTGTCCCTATTCCTAGTGAACCATGGGTTTACTAAGGGAAAGGTTGACAAAACTCTATTTCAAATCTCTGTTGCTAATCATATTCTGCTAGTACAGATATATGTTGATGATAGTATATTTGGAAGTACTAATGCAGAACTATGCAAGAAATTTTCTAAAGTTATGCAGAGCCAATTTGAGATCAGCATGATGGGTGAACTGAGCTACTTCCTAGGACTACAAGTGAAACAAATTCCAGAAGGAATCTTTATCAACCAAGGGAAGTACACCAGAGACCTGATCAAGAAGTTTGGAATTGATGGAAAATCCTCAGTCAAGATTCCCATGAACACTTCTCAAGTAATTATTTAAATGATGAAGGAAAAGATGTAGATGCAACAATGTATAGAGGAAACATTGGATCTATTCTCTATCTAACTGTAAGCAGGCCAGACATAGCATTCTCTGTTGGAATCTGTGCTAGATACCAATCAAAGCTCAAAGAGAGTCATCTAAGTGCTGCTAAAAGGATCATCAGATACATCAAAGGAAATCCAAATGCAGGCCTATGGTACCCCAAGGGAGGTAACTTTGAACTAATTGGTTACCCTGATTCAGATTTTGCAGGTTGAAGGTTAGACAGGAAGAGCACCTCTGGTCACTGTCAATTGCTAGGTGGGAGACTTGTCTCCTTGTTTAGCAAGAAGCAGAACTCAATCTCAACAAGCACAGCTGAAGCTGAATACATTGCAGCTGGGAGATGCTATGCTCAGCTACTCTGGATGAAGCAACAGTTGAAGGATTATGGCATTCAAGCAAAGGAGATCAAACTTCTCTATAACAACACAAGTGCCATTGCAATCACTCAGAATCCAGTCCTTCACTCCATAACCAAGCACATTGAGATCAGACATCACTTCATCGGAGATCATGTAGAGAAGAAGCACATATGCATGGAGCATGTGTCAACAGAAGACCAGCTTGCAGATATTCTAACCAAGCCTTTGCCTGAGGCAAGGTTTAACAAGCTGAGAGAAGAACTGGGAATGATGAATGAAATCCCCTGAGATGGTTGAAAGAAAAACTCTTTGTTGCAAAATCTCTGTTACAGAACCCCTTCTGCTCTTCAATTTGAACAGAGAAACTCCGTTCCTACCGGAACCCCTCAGCAACAGAAGCCCCCTTTTCTCTCAAAGAAGGTTAAAGACTTAGAAAATTTTGAGAAAACGGGTGACCTAGTTACTAAGTAAAGGTCTTTTACCTTTATGCCCCTGACAGTTATTACAGTTGCAGAGTATTTACTGTGCCCCTTTTTCATTTATTGGTACCTCGAAACCGCCAATAATCTCAAACGTCCACTAACCCGAAAACTTATATTCCCCTCCTTTCAACCTAAACTGTTACTGCTCTCATCTCTCTCAAGTATTCAAACTTTCATATCTCTCAAGCTCTCAGAAACTCCTCATCAACTCTAATGGAATTCATCAGTTTCGAATCCCTCCCCAAATCTCAGAAGAAAACCATGACCAAGAATGTTCTCACAGGGATGAAATGCGACCTCTACGCAATCCCAAGACTCGCTGAGGACGAGGAACTAACGATCTAGAAATCTCAATGGAATTAGAGAAGAGGTCAATAAAGATTTGAAAACGCTACAAGAATTGGATAATCAAGTCATGGCTGCAGCACTAAGGGAGAATGTGTAACTAATATACTCTAAATGCTTAAATAAAATCACATCTCTGTCTTTCATATTGTAAGGCAATTACTCCCTATCTGTTTCTTGCTATTTATTATTTCTATTATTATGTTTGTTTGTATGCTCTGATTGATTGTGATTTATCTTGATTGTACTCTCACTCTTACTATTTTCCTATGCTAAGTTGCCCGCCAAGAGTTTTAATGAAAGTTTTTACTTTATTTCTTTTATGGTGAAAGGCACTTCTCTGGAAATAGTTTAAGGGTTTTGGCATCATCAAAAAGGGGGAAATTGTAAGGAATAATTGTAATTAGATTTTGATGATTCTATATTAATTAGGATTTTAGAGTACCCCTCTTTAGAAACTTAAATTAGAATTTTCCTTGTAAAGCATTCTTAGAATAGTCGACTGACAGAAGACCTCATTACAGAAGACCTTCTGGGTGCCTGTTAGACTTTGTCCAGACAGAAGACCTTTAGCTCTCTATTGCTTCACTTCGTGGACAGAAGACCTCCTGGTTCTCTGTTGGACTTCATCAGAACAGAGGTACTTAAGTCCTTCTGTTAGCCTCTACTTCAACAGAAGTGCTCGTGATCCTCTGGTAGCTTATTTTCAACAGAAGTGCCAAGGCCCTCTCTGATTGACTCTCTGTTCAAATATACCAGAAGGCATGACACTTTGAGAATTTCCTGAAATCTATCTAAGCCGGTGAATTCAACAGAAGATTCCTTCAACGGCTAGAAGACTTCAACGGAAAAGCTACAGTACATGCATTAAATGCTCGTTTAATGAGCCCCGTACGCTGAAGAGTAAAAGTTGATGATTAGCCGACATTCCAGGATAACTTTATCCCAAAATAGCAACTCACCAACTTTATCGGGTCCTACTGGTCAAGTCAACTATACGCGCATTTAATGCAGTTGTCCTCCTCCTCCAACGGGAAGACAACCCCGATATATAAGAGATTCTACTCAAAGAACAACTAGAGAACTTAGCTAGAACTCTTGCTCAACTTTCGCTCCAACAACAAACATTCAAACTCACAAGCTTTCTTTAGACTTCAAGCTTCATCATCTCAAACAATAAAAGCTTCAGTTGGAAAGATAATATTTTCCTGTCTTCATATTCCAACAAAGAGCAATGTTCCTTGTTTTTCAACCCTTCAAGCACTTCATCTACACATCCTTTGTGACGAAGCAAGTTGGAGAACCCCTATTTACAAGAAATCTTCTTTAACTAGAAGGACATCCAAGTAACCGGAGTAGTGAAGTGGGTATACTTCAAGGAAGCTCAGTGAAAGGACCAGTCTTAAAGGAAGCCAGGAAGTGCATCCAGGAGACATCTAGACTTGAAGAAGACGTGGAGAGCTTCTTAAGTGCTAGGGCTAAGGCTTTGTAATCTGAGTTTTTACAAGCTTAGTGGAACAGTGGATTAGAGGAATGAGTTGTTTCTTGAACCACTATAAAAATCCTTGGTGTCATTTACTTACTGCTTTTGATTCTCGCATTTACTTTAAACTGATTAACTCCAAAGACTAGGTCTCTGTGTTCAGCAGAACGTGTCTTGTGAGTTAACAGAAGGCCTACTGCCTTTGCACCTCTGTGAGGCTAACCGGACAGAACCCCTACCAGAATACCATACGTTGCCAGTCTGTTCTGTCAACAGAACAGGCTATTCTGTTAAATCAGGTACTTAGCTTGAAAAGTTAAAAACCGGTACAGTCTATTCACCCCCCCCCCCCCTCTAGGCTATACCCAGTACAACCGGGACCAACAATATTGTTATTAGAATATGGATTTCTCAAACTTCCCAATCGTGTGTCATTGGGGAGGGAACGTATTTGAGGAAGGTGACCAAATACGCCATGAGGGGGGTCCACTAGGTAAGGGTTTAATTATAATATTCCAAAAATGATACTAATGTTGCATGAAAAAAATAATTAGTAAAATATTAATTTAAAATAAATAAATTAATACAGTAGTAAAAATTAACTAATATCCTTTTTCTTTTTTGTAGGCATGGAGGTGTCAGCGGATCCTGGGCCGAGTGATCGTTCTGTCCTGACATTGCAAGCCTCGCACAGGAGTGAGGATGTGTGGCTTGGCCTCGATGTTCAGGTGGATAGGTGTCGTGAGCACCTACGTGGTTTGTCGCATATGCAGGTGGACGACAGAGTACTTGCATGTGTTCGTGCTGCGGGTTTTTATGGTCTGCATAGATTGGTGGCTACTATCCCTCTCGATAGAGCGCTACTCACTGCTCTTCTTGAGCGTTGGAGGCAGGAGACACACACATTTCACCTCCCTGTTGGTGAGGTGACAGTGACCTTGGGAGATGTTGCTATACTGACTGGGTTACAGGTCGATGGGAGAGTTGTTACTGGTACTGCTTGTCGACAGTGAGTTGATGAGTGTGAGCGTTTGTTGGGTGTTCGCCCCCTTCTTCGGGCTGACCTTCAGGGGTCATCTCTGAGAATGCCATGGTTGAGGGAGCATTTCGTTGTTCTTCATGCGGACGTTGATGAGGTGATGATCCAGCAGCATGCACGGACATATATTTTGATGATGATGGGAGCTTCCATTTTCACTGACAAGAGTGGAAATGAGATTCAGGTGCTGCACTTGCTTATGCTAGAGAGGTTTGATGTAGCAGCGCAGTTCAGTTGGGGTAGTGCCACGTTGGCTTATCTCTACAGACAGTTGTGTTGCGGCTGCCATAGAGGGAGCACAGAGGTTGGAGGATTTTTGCTTCTTCTCCACATTTGGTCATGGGAGTACATCCACATTGGGCATCCCACTAGAGTGGCATACTATGGCATTGATGGACACCCACTACCTGATGAGCCTCCACGTCTCCTGGGACCACATCATGTACGGGGTGAGGACCCTCTGGGCCGTCGGTATGTTTTCAATCATTTGAATTTATGTTCTAGGCTCGGTGTGTACAGGGATGCGTTTGATCGGATGTATGAGGATCAGGTATGGTGTGCGTAATATAACATTAACTATAATATGTATAGCAGAAATACTAATTTTGTATCTTTATGAAACAGATTACATGGATGCCATATACAGCTGAGATGTTTGCAGAGTTACCCCCCTTTAGACGAGAGCATTCTCACATATGGCGAGCACGTGTGCCGTTGATATGTTTTGACATTGTTGAGCTTCATTTGCCTGATCGTGTATTGCGACAGTTTGGGTATGAGCAGGTCATTCCAGCACCTATCGACACATATGTAGACCTTCATAGGTTGGATAAGCGTTGGAAGCATACAGAAGATTGGGCACTCAGACATGTCCGATACGTCACTGTGTCGGAGAGGCGAGCTGAGCTTGTTGTGATTGGGACACCGACATTAGTCCCATCTATTTCGGGAGACTACATGGGATGGTATTACAGCATCACTCGTTTGTTTGTGTCTCCTTCGTTCAGACTCCCTACTCACCATTATCAGCCTAGTTCCTTGGCTTTGCATCTGACGGTAAGTATATTACTAATTACTAAAGTAAGTCATTTTTATTATTTAACACTTTTATTTATTTCTAACTAATTGTAATTGTGTTTCATATTTCAGACACGAGCTTTGCAGCGTATACATCAACGGTCTACTGCCACAGTGAATGATACGCATGACGTGGACATGTACGGTCAGGCTTTGACGGGCATCGCCTCGTTGTGTTCATATTTGTTGGGGCGAGTTGACTACGGTCATCTTAGTACATATGCCCCCATCTCATGATATGCCATCGACATCTAGTGCATCGGCAGCTTCATCATCCCAGACTCAGCATGAGAGAGTGGTTCTTCAACCACGCCAATGACGTAGGCAGCAATAGCAACATCTACATGACCAAGACGATCAAGAAGAGCACGAGAACTTGTAGTTTGTCTTTTGTATTGGAGTGTTTCTTGTACACTAGATGTTGTAGGAAGAATTGACTTTATTTTACTTATTTCCACCTGTAAACTCTTTTATGATGTGTTGATGTGTTCGATTATGAATATTAGATGACTACTATGTTATGAATATTGGATTTTTGTACTGTGTTTTACTAGTTATGAATCTACTAGTTTGTATCTTATTTGTGAAGGGTATGTATGCGGTGTTTTATATGTTGTTGAGAGAATGTGTTATGGATGTGTTTGTGAGCAGGTGTGTTGTATGTTTTGTAATGTGTTGTATCTGGTTCGTAACCCCTAAATAGGAGAAAGGAGACCTTGTGTATAGGAAATATATAGTCAGGGGTAAGTCACCAAACGGTTGGGCGACTTATAAGTCACCCAACCGTTTGACGACTTACCCCGACCATGGTTAAACCCAGAAGTAGATCGGTAAATACTTTTAACCCAGCATTATTTTCATAATTAATTAATTAATCAACATTAATTTGAAAAAAAAACTCACTATTACTATCATCTTAAAATTATTATTCTGCCATCTTCTATATCTCATTCCATTTCAATGTTTTCCTTAGGGTGGTCATATCTGTTTTCGGTTTGGTTTTTATCGGGTTTGGTTCGGCTCGATTTCGAACGGATTGGGAGAATTATTACTAAACAAAAATCATACTGTTTTTTGGTTTAGTTCGGTTTGGATTTGTTACTTTTTAATAATATATGAATGTTTTATTGAATTTTTTTACTTTGGTTCAGTTTTGTTCGGTTTTTATCGGTTGCGGTTTGGTTCGGCTTACTACAAAACTCAAATCAAATTGCATATGGTCCGGTTTCAATTTGGTTTGGTATTGTTCGGTTCGATTAAACCAATCCAATATGTCCACCCCTAGTACTTTTACTCATTTATTTTTGAGAAAATTGTGCAAAATATGACTAAATCATACAAAGTTTACATGATTAGGACCTACTTAGTTTTTTTCCATCTGTATGTTTTATTTAGTTCTATTTTTAGGAACCTTAATTTTTGTTTCCGTTTTTACCCTCCACTTTAAACTGCTTATTAAAGACTAATAACCTGGGGCAACGACAAATCTCTTCCGCAATACCCTTTCTTCTTCCTTCGTTCTTCATATGTGAAATGACGCGAGCTCAAGTTCTTCGTCCTTTTAATCATCCGCGCTCACTTCTCCAGATTCGATCGTGCTCGTATGGTCCATGAATTGTTCTAAAGCCATGAATCGTTCTGAAGCATACGGATTGTTCGCCAGCTCTCAATTGATTCGACCAGTTCCCGATTTGGGTTGGTTTATCTATGTTTCACACTCATCATCTATCTCTTCATATCTTGACATATATGGATTTCTATCTTGGATTACCCCTTTTATCATTGTCTCCTAGAAAAGGGAGATGAAATAATATATCACTGGTTTGTTAGTTCTAGAAATCTAGTCTATGTATGATGTTCTATAAATTCTTACTATTCATTTTCAAGACATTTATTCCGAGATTGTTAATTTTTATTATAAATTTTCAAACTGGTGTGATGTGTATCTCCTGAGCTGAGATGAGTGTATTGTGATTGCACTTGAGCTGATTTTGAGAATCCTCTCTTAATAGGTTCTATGGCTACGCAGATGAAAGAGTGTGTCCATGAAGTATCTCTTGAGAAATTGCTGGTGAAGCAAGGTCTTACTCACGTAAGTGATAGGCAATTGTCAGTTGAGGGAGTTTCTGTTACCTTCTCTGCTATTGTGGTATTATCAGAACTTATTATCTATTTATGGACTACTTATTGTCTATGTATTGTCTAGTGTTTGCAAGTTTGATTTTGTTAATCTCAAAACAAAGTATGTTCATGTTCTGAGTTTCGCCTGGAATAGTCCGTAAGTGTTCATGGCATTGGAACTGTGAGTCAAAGTCAAGGATTGTACTGATATGATTATATCTCAAGGATTTGCTTCACACATGAGTGAGGTACTTTCCTAATTCTTGCTTTGATTGGAACTTTCCTAATTATATGCAGTCCATAACGTGCAACCCATCTAAATTTTCACACGCCAACCCTTAGATATAAAAAGTAGTGTATACATTCAGCTAGAATATATAGTTGCATCAGTGTTCAAGGTGTAAAAAATGAGGACACAATAAAAGTCTTGCAGGAATCCTATTTGATTTCATTCTTCTTAAATTCACAAATCATAATGTCCTATCACTTTCATTTTATTTCATGCAATAAGTGTGTGAGACTTTTAGTTTGTTTTGCTCACAGGAAGCTAGAAATAAATAAAATTATTCTCTCTGAACATTTTGAGGCCAAGCTTTGTACCTTCCATGAGTCCTCATTGATGTTGGTAAATTAATTACCTGTTTAGAATTATTATTTCTATTAGTACCCAATTTTGATAGATTTTGATGATGTCACTATACTTAGCACGTGTACATTGTGTCTCTATACTTAGCACGTGTACATTGTGTCTCAATATTGTTCGTGTGTTAGCATTCAAAATTATGTGACAAAATAAAATGTACAATTTTTGAGTCGAATTAAATATTACCGGAGAAGTTAAAATGCAATAAGGTAATTTTTATTTACCTTAATAGGATATTTAGATCCTATCGGTATATATTATTTTAGCTCAAAGATTAATTGTATGTCACTAAAGAAAAGGATATTATTTACCTAAATAATATTTTTCAATATTATTTTAAAGAAAAGGAGCTCGGAAAATCAAATACATTGAATGTAAATGATTGAAGACAAAAAATTGACTGGCAATTAATACATGGGACCGAAGCATAGGACGCATGCATTATTATTATGAGAAGATTTTCCGAAAAGATACTTCAGCAGCTGAGATACTCAAGACAAAGAAATCATCCCAAATAAATGCTCCAGCACAAGAAGACGAATGTACAATTCGTCCTTGCAAGAATTTCAACGTCAGAGATTAATTCATCCTAACCAACAGATGAGATTAATCCAAAGGAGAAGCCTAAAAATATAGGATGAAACGAAAGTTTCTAACCAAGCTTTGAGCATCCAAAGTAGAGAAATACTCCCACAAGCATTCACGAGCTATCTAGCAAAAGAGAAAGTGCTATTCTAAACTTTACTCTCTGCTTGGACTCATGCTTCACTAAACTTCCAGTTTACAAGCTATTCATTGCTAAATCATAGAAGTTTAGTTCCTAGTTGGAGGTTAGAACTTTCTTGTAACATTTCACAAGTTGTTGTAAACACTTAGGAGAACAGTTGTTCGGATCCTAAAGTGTAAGTAGATAGATAGAGTACCTTTTGATCCCCACTGGTTCATTAGAGAAAAGTCTAAGGACTGAGTAACTTTGAGTGGTGCTATACTCATTGTGAAAAACCTTCAATCTAGGCCTAAGTGTTGTAAAGACTAGATTGGCACTAAGTGTATTGGGCTTAATACTTTAGTGAAATCCATCTGAAAGAGGGTGGGACTGGACGTAGGAGGATTACACCACCTCTGAAACAGGATACACTGTGTGTTGATTTACATTCATTCAACAAAGCACACACTTAGCACTTCTTACAAAAAGATTGAAGTTTGCCAGCAGAATCATAAGCAGTTGTCTTAACTGACCCAACTGCTTCTCCTACTGCTTAATTACTTACTTTCTTTGAGACCATTTTCACACAAGAGACGTCCATCAATATCACTAAAAGGTCTGTTCTATCATTTTCCAGAAATTCATTTTCTAAGTATAGCAGGTGCCTCGGCAGTCCCCTGGTGTCCACCCAACTGGTGAGCCCTCTGCTCATATACACTTGTTTCTCTTGAACATCTCAATATCACCAGACCTTCATAACATTACCAACAAGGAGGTTGACCAAACTGCTCTCTGAAATTCACTTTCTAAACTAAGTAGGTACCTCAGCAGTGCTCTCATCACCACTCAACTGCTGAGACCACTGCTCCAGTAAAGCTCCTGATTACTTTTACTAAAGCACATTTTCTGAAAGCCCTCATCATTCTCAGTAACATTCCATCATCACTTTCATCAAACACCCAATATTTCCTCATTAGTTGTCTTAGCAGTTCCCTGCTATCTAGCCAACTGCCAAGCCAATTGCCAGACATTTGAGTTCAATCTTCTACCAGGATAGAAAGTATTCACACACTGATTCCATAAAGGGTAAAGACTTCCGATGTACATCTATAAATCTCTCAAAAGATTATAGATCAACTCTTTAGAGGGAGAAACGCTTCAAGATTGAAAAAGATTTAAAAGTCTATTCCCCCCCCCCCCCCCCTCTAGACTTTTACCCTATCCGGGACCATCAAGTGGTATCAGAGAGGAGTGTTCCTAGAGTCATTTACTGACTATTTTGAACTAAAGATCCAAAACCACTTCACCTCCCAAACACTTTCTAAAAATGGACAGTCAACTAGCCAAGAATCTCCTGTTCAACTTAAACAAATTTGATGATTGGAAAATCAAGATGAAAGTACATATGAGTGCTTTACATGATGAAATGCTTGAAGTAATTACTGCTGGACCTATCAGAATAATGAAGGTCAGCACGTCTAAAGCTGATGACCAGGAGGATGTGTACATTCCTAAACCAAAATTGGAATGGACATCTGAGGATAGGAAGAGGAATAATCTTGACAACATTGCCAAAGATATTCTATTTAAATTTGTTGATGAATCCATATTTCCCAGAATCAGGAAATGTGAAACTGCAAAGGATGTATGGGATGAGCTCACAAAGATCGGAGCTGGTGATGAACAAGAAAAGGACAACAAACTAACCATAGCCCTCCAGAAATTTGAGGACTTCAAAATGTTGTCTAATGAGTCTATTCATGAGATGGAATCCAGGTTCCTAAAGATTATAGCAGAGGTCTCAGACCTAGGGAAAGATCTATCCCAAAAGGAGATTTCCCTTAAAGTCTTAAGAGGCCTGCCATCAAAGTGGGATATGAAAGTGACTGCTATGAGAGATAGCAGAGATCTAAGAGCCTTGTCAACTGACAAGCTCTTTAGTGACCTAAAAGCATATGAATTTGAGATGAAGGAGATGAAAGATGAAAGAGAGGATGAATCCAAGACACTAGCCTTAGTGTCTGAGCCAAACACATCAGGATCCAGTGAAAAATCCCTCAACAATCTGCTCACTGACGAGCAGTTTGCTATGTTTGTGA